TGGGCAGATCTTCAGGACTTTTACAAAAACAAGGAAAACAACATCCTGTAGGAGGAGGGACTAGGACAGTGATGGCGAACCTTTTGAGCTCGGCGTGTCAGCATTTTGAAAAACCCTAACTTAACTCTGGTGCCGTGTCACATATAGAAATTTTTTGATATTTGCAACCATAGTAAAACAAAGACTTATATTTTTGATATTTATTTTATATATTTAAATGCCATTTAACAAAGAAAAATCAACCCAAAAAATGAGTTCGCGTGTCACCTCTGACACGCATGTCATAGGTTCGCCATCACTGGACTAGAATGTCACCTTCAGATGTCATCTCACAGGTGACCAATCTGGTTCCATTTGAGGAAAGAGATGAGCTGAGTGAATCACTTAGTAAAAGGCAAGGTGCCTGCTGTCTGGGCATCCCCTTCTTCTCAGTAACCAAAGCCTACAGAAAAATAAGTAGAATCAGGCCCAGAGCTTGAAGCCTGAATGTGCTAGCCTGCAGTGAACCTAATGCAAAAGAGGAACCAGATCCTGGGTGGAGAGGACAGGAAAGAACATGACTTCATCTTTGTTCTGCTGACAGGCGTTACAGTTCTGTCAGGCAAACTCCATGCTGACCTGTTTCAGCCCCGTCCCAGCTCTGCGTTGCTGGAATTGAGTGGAACATCCCGGGACATAAAATGCAGTTTTTAAAGGGCTATACTCACCTGTGTTCAGAGTTGGGGCATCAGGCCCATTGTTGTGTTTCTGTTTTTAAATAAAAATAGTTTTTTTTCCTGATCATAAAAAGAGTTATCTATTCACTGCAGAAAATTATTCAATACAAGAAACATCTTAAGATGATAATGCGCACCTGAAATTAAACCTTTCTCGTGAACATTCTTTCAGTAACACATTCTGGGTGCATACCCTCATACAAATATTTTTATAGGGTTAGATGCATGTTTTTTTATAATTTGCTTTCTTTAAAACAGTAGGTTGTGTAGATCATCCTATACTAATGACTAAGTCAAAATCACCATGCAATTGACTGACTAATATTACGCATCAGTCTCTCTCCCGGAGTTCCAAGCAGTGGCCCACTTTTTGTGCTGCTGGGTGTGAGCTAAGTCACCAAGATGAACATTTTAAAGTAGGTCTGGCATCTTTATCTGTCCCCAGTCCTCATCTTCCCCAACCCGCCTTGCCTCCTCAGCTATTACTACCAGTTTTTATCGGTCTCTCTTCCTTTTCTTCAAGACCTGCCTCCCCCAGGGCCTGGACAGGCACTGCTCAGCTTCGTGGGGGTGTTTACTTGGTCATGAGAGAAATAAAACCAGCCCTTCCCCACCTGAAAGCACCTTTTGGCTCCTGCCTCTGGCCCAGAGGGGTCTAACTTTCCATTTCTGCTTGGTTCTTCTTTTTTTCTAGCATTTTTACACAGTGACCTCTCCAATCCTTCTTGCTACTCTTGGCAAAACTGGTGATTCTGACCCTAATGTGCGGCTTGTGGCTTCACAGTCAGCATTTCCCAAGTGAGGTTTCTCAGCCACCCAGCCCTGGAGCCCAGCGCTTCCCTCGGCTCTGCTCAGCGGCTACTTCTCTGTGGTCATTTGTTTTCCTTCTTCTGTTTTGACTTCTAGGCTTAGGCAGTCGAGTATCTCTTGTGTGACTTCCTCATGACCTGGGTACCAAGGGTGTAGGAAAGAGGAGATGGAGCATCAGCCCTGAGGACCCATCTGAGCACAAATGAGAACCTGCAGGAGTTCTTTCTTTTTTAAATCCTTACCCAAGGAGTGAGGATATTTTTCCCACTGATTTTTTAAGAGAGTGGAAGGGGCGGAGGAATGGGGGGCGGGGGGGGGAAAGAGAGAGAAAGAGAGAGAAAGAGAGAGAGAGAAACAGGGAATATCAATGTGTTAGAGACATATCAATTGGTTGCCTGCCACTTGCGCCCTGACCAGGCCTGGGAATTGAACCTGCAACAGAGGTACGTGCCCTCGATCGGGAATCGATCAAGGGCACATACCTTCAGTTCGCAGGTCAACACTGTAACCACTGGGCCAAACCGTCCAGGGCAGGAATTCTTGAAAATACAAACAAACAAACCAACAACAGGAAAACAAACACAAAACAATAATGGTACTTCCCATCTGACCTCTAACCTTTTCACAGACCTTCCTTTCCACAGTGCAGGCCATAGGCGATGTGGAAAGTGTGGAGTGGCCGAGTGACCTGGAGTCAGGCGGGCCTATTCCAGAAAGGCTTCCATCTCCATCTGGCCTCAGCCCTGGAGAGGCCATCTTTCTTGGTTTCATCCATTCATTCTCCATCAAATGCATATTGAGCTCCTACTGTGTGTCAGGACCACATCCTCTTCCTTGATTATGTACAGAACTCACACCATTCCTCACGATCCAGTCTCCTCCACCTTTTCCCGTTATTCCCATTGCTTAGCCTCAATCCCACCTATTGCAGTTTCTGTTCATTTCCTCTGACTCTGTTTTTGGTGGAAAGGGGAGCAGTTGCTCTCGACTCACCTTGAGTCTGTTATGAGCCTCCTCGGGCTGCGGTATTTGCTTTTCAATAAACCCAGCTTTTCTGCTCTGCTCTAGGGGGGCTGACTGGGTCTTCCCAGGGAGGCTCCCTCCGAAAGCCTGTTGCTAGCAGGGCCGGGCAGTGATGGGCAGGACATACAGCAGTGCTGCTCGCACGGAACAGAGCCGGCTGGAGAGTCATGGCCCACATAGTGTGGAAACCTGATATGGGCAGAGTAGTGCTGGGGTGTCTGGTTGATGATGGCGGGTGAGAGAGAGCTTTCAAAACACACTGTCCAGGGTTTGGAGCCCTGGGATGCACAGTCCGTTTCCCTGTCCACCCTGCCCCCTTGACAGCTGCTGAGTCCCAGGCTTGGGAGACCCAGTGTGTGTAGCCCCTTCCCCGGAGACATCCCAGCTTAGAGACCTGGGGGAGATGTGGGCTCCTCCAAAGTGAGACTTGAATCAGCTGTGGGTTAAGCCTGGAGTGGTCCCTCCGTCCTCACAGAAGCCACCTTTTTGGAGAGACTTTCCTGGGGCCTGAGCTGAAGCTGGATGAACTCTGGGAACGAGTTGGTATTAGTCAGGGCTCCTGGTTAGAAGCAGCAGAGCCAAAGCTCTAATTTAAGGATTTTGGGAAGCGCATGGACTTTACACCAAGGCTGGGAAACCAGGCTTGGAAAATGGGAAGAAAAGGAGAAGTTGCAGCCAGAACAGAGGCCAAAATCACAACCCAGCGCTGGTCTGGCGGGGACCCTGATGCTGTGTTGTACCCTGATGCTGGCAGCTCTGGCTGCGGGGTGCTGCTGCCGGTGTCCTCATCAGCATTGCCCCAGACACTGGGTATGGCTGCAACTTCCTCTTTTGCCACAAATGTTTTCCTTGTTCTCCTTTTTACATCACTAATTCCCTAACCTTGTCAGGCTTTGGTGATCAGATGGGCTTTGCCCAGGCTCAGAGGGCAAATATCTGGTGTCTTCAGCTTTGCTAGTCAGAGATGAGCCTTGTCTCCCACGCCTTGTGGATGGGAACTTCCCAAACATAGGAAGACACTGGGTGGTTAACATGGACGAATGCACATGGAAGGGGTCCTGGGAGTGAACGCCAGGTGGTGGGCGTTATGCATGGGTTTGTCTGAGGGTAGCATCACTCAGCGACTCAAGTTTATTAGGCACCAACTGTGTGCCAAGTGGTGGGCAAGGTGGTTTTCTATCCTTGATGCCCTCTGGTCCCCACTGGGAGATTGTGGCGATTTGGAGAGTTCAGGTAGCAGAGTAGGGAGCTTGGAGCTCATGCTGAGACTATTGGAGGTGAAGCGGACACTATACATTTCTGGGGAGACAAGCCAAAGGGGCCTCACCAGAGAGTGTCCCTGTGGGAAATGGGAACTGGGACAACAACGAGGTCACCCTCCTGCCACCCTCCTTTCCTCCCCTCTTTCTTCCATGCGGCATGACGACTTGGCCTTCAGCTCAGGGAATGCAGAAATGTCCTTCTCATTGAGCTTGGTCTCTACTCAGAGAACCCTCTCTTCTTTGGGGGTGTCCCCAACATTTCAGGGTCTATCCAGATACTTGCCCCCTGTGGCTTTTCCACATGCACCTCTACCTACCTTGGCAGGGGCTGACGAAGTGCTTACCTTGCTAAGGGTCCAGAGCAGGGGTGGGCAAACTTTTTGACTCGGCCACAATGGGTTCTTAAACTGGACCGGAGGGCCGGAAACAAAAGCATGGATGGAGTGTTTGTGTGAACTAATATAAATTCAAAGTAAACATCATTACATAAAAGGGTACGGTCTTTTTTTTTTTTTAGTTTTATTCATTTCAAACGGGCCGGATCCGGCCCGTGGGCTGTAGTTTGCCCACGGCTGGTCCAGATGGTACTCGGTACTGATGGCTGAAACCTTTTGCCTCTCCCTGCAGCCGTTAAGCACAACTGGTGTCACGAGCTCCTCTTCCACCACTTCCAACAGGTCAAGGAATCGGTCTCGTTATCGGACCAAAGCTGTGAGCTGCGAGGTAGACGAGAGCCTCTTCGGAGGCAACAAGGTAACCCTAACCCAGCCCCTCCAGGTAGCTGCCATGTGCAGGCGGTAACCTGGACTCGTGTTACTCAGGACAAAGCTAGCACCGTGCATGTCATCCCTCTCCCTCGTACCTCTCAGAGGAAGACAGAGGGGCGTTCTGAGAGCCAGCAGGGGAGCTCTGACACGGAGTGGGGCCCACATAAACAGGACACCTGGCTTCCCCCACCCATCCCGTCCTCATGTCTGCACAGCATTGAACATCTGCTGTAATCCTGGAGGGGACGCTCAGCTGCAGAAAGCTGGGTAGTTGCTCAGTGAACATCCTTGAGGAAAACATGGCAGGGCCACTGGACTAAGACACAGAGCGACACATTCCCCCCTCCATCCAAGACCAGCACCAGAACAAAACACAAAGTCCTCGTCCTTTCCCAGGTGCTCAACGAAAACAATTTCTCAGCTTTGGGACACAGGCAGGTCTTTATTGGCAAATGTTGTCCTGGCTAAGAGGTTGACAACTCCTTCAGTCTAAGGAGAGCTGGATGTTCCTTGGAATAATTTGGTGCACACGGAGTTCAGTAGGCGAGAAGGAAGAGAGGCAAGTCTAGAAAGAGAACGAGGCATGGCGAGAAGGGCAGTGAGAGAAAGAGAAAAGAGGGGCAGAAGACTGCATACTGGTGTGACTACCTCTGGCAGCGGGAGGGCTGGGGAGAGGAGAGGTGACATCTATCCTTGCTTCTCACCAGCTTCACCGTGAAGGGACTTTTCAGACGGATCAGGACAGGCATCTTTCTGCATTTAGAGAACCCCCATTCTGTAGCAGTTTCCCTGGAGAGAATCAAGGGATGCAATTTTATTTACTTGTTTTTTGTTTGTTTGTTTTGGGAGCATGGGGACTCTTCCAGTCGAAGCAAAGACAGATTTAGAAATGGCTGAGTTCGCTGAGTAGTGCTGCTGCCCAGCAGAAGGGGCAGCCAGAAACACGCCTGTTCCTGGCACTGCTTCTTTGGCCCTCTTGCTGGGTGAGAGTCTAGGAAGTCTCTCAACCAGCAGCAGGGGGCAGAAGGGGCCTGTGGCATGACTGACATGCCCACTCGGAAGCAGAGATGGGCACCAGGTGGCAGCACTAGTCGGGAGGGACCTCTGTGCCCTGTGAGATCCTCGGGCCAGGAAGGACCTCCACGGAGGGGTCCCCCTGCCTCCACTCAGGACCACAGTCACTGCGTTAATGATGAATGACAAGTTCTCCGGTGTTCAAACATTTCCTGAAATAAGCGATTTCATTTTCTTATTAACTCCTTCACGGTCAAGAAAGGAAGCCCTCAGCGCCACAGCCAGTCATGCTGCAGAGGCAGTTAGGGCGGCCTGCTGGTGTGAGCGCACTTTGTTTCTAGGGTATAGATGACTCTCTCTGATCTGTAAAATCCAGTCACGAGCCAAGAGCATCACTGCTAGCCACTCCCCAAAGCACTGGGGGAAGGAGACAGGTAAAGGGTCTCAGCTTTAGGGGAGAATGTTGTTTGAACGATAGAACACTTGCATGGGGACATCACAGTGTGGAGTTAAGAATAACGGTAAATGGGCCTTTAATTACCATAGAATCCCTGAGCTGGGGTC